AGCCAGATTTTGCGAATAAAAAATGAGAAAGGATTTTGATTTCTAGAAAATCGTAAACACTACAGAAATATACCAAAATTAAATCTACAATACCCATAATTTTAGGGTGCATTTAAGGTTAATCGATTTTTGGTGTTAATAAATTAAAAAAAAAAATAATAAAAAAAAACTACAGGCATGCAATAAAATGTGGGCCGATTTTATGGCAACTCAATGATAAGGGATTTAAAAATTAAAATTTTATATTCAAAATGAGACCTAATTATTTTCAATTAGATTTCTTGAATAAAAAATGAGAACGGATTTTGATTTATATTTAATTGAGAATGGAATTTGACATTTGAAATTTTCAAAAAATACATCAACAAAACCCATCAATTTAGGGTGCATTATGGATGACCGATTTCTTGGGTTAAGATTAAAAGAAAATAGTTAAACTTACAATTTTCCTAAACTATTTTGAAAAAAAAAAAAACATGTCTAAAAATATTTAAACTTAATATATATGTATATGTATATATATATATATATATATGTGTGTGTGTGTGTATGTATGTGTGCGTATATGTATATATAGTTATAATATGACATGATAAAATATTATATAAAAGTATCTAAAATTTTGTAAGCCTAAATAAAGACATTATAAATTTTCTGAGAGAAAATTTACCTAGTATATATAAAATAAATATTGACATGATCCCAAATTATGACGGTACTTCTCAAAATTTGAGTATATAATATTTCAAAATTATTATTTTTTTATAAGTTTGTTACCGTTAAAAAGAAATTTTGTACACATAATAATTTCACGCTTTATGCAGATTTATTAAGTTTACAAATACAGCTCAAAGATTAATGTAAACTGTAACAAATATATATAACTAATAATCAGATAAAAATTGAAGACAATATTTAATTCTACATTTCTTCTTATAACTTTTTATTGTATGTAGTTTGAGAGAGAAATATGTGATAAATATACTAAAGACCTCTAAAATATTATATCACATATATAAAAAGTATATACAATATTCTATATTATTCTTCAAAAATGTTTGAAGCCACTTTTCTAAATTACGGAAAATATGTCAAAAAATACTTAAGTTTAACCCCATACATATGTGTGTATATATATATAGAGAGAGCTCCTTAGTCTTTGTCTAATGTTTAAAATATCTAAAATATTATAAGGGTTAATAATTGTTAAAAAATATTAGTATTTAGATGGGTGAAAATTATTTTTTAAAAAAAAAAAAAAAAATTACCGAATGATTTATATTTGCGATTAGACAGTTAACTTGTTTTAAGAAAAAGAAATTATGTTACGGTAGATTTTTCCATATGGAATTAAGTGTGAACAGAAGGGTGAATGAGATAAGATTTTTTCTATCTATGTTATCCAATAAATTAGCTGATTTATTCCCCTATTCATAAATGTCCAACAATATCTATTTTTTAGCCAAAAAAAAGGCATCTTTCCCTAGTTTGGAAGGAAAATTAAAAAAAAAATATATACATTTAATGTTTGGCGGCAGTTTTTTGGCGGGTAAGCAAAAAAGGTTATTCTTTTATTATATAGATAGATTTCGTCACTGGAGCGATGATAAGGCCCGCCCCTACGGGATTCATATATCAATTTATATTTTATTTCGATGAATGACATTTACGAAGTAAAAATTCACCCTATGAATTCATGTTCTAATTTATGTTTCATTTAATTTGATAAATAACATTCACTTATGTTCCAATTTATGTTCCATTTGATTTGATTAGACATGGTCAAACCTCATTTCAGGGTCGGAACCGCCGATTTCGAACCGATGTTTGAGTTCAGGCCCCTATCATATGCACGGGTCGGTTTAATGAACCAGCGGTTCCGAACTGGTTCAGGATTGAACTAGATCCGACCGGTTTTATTTATAAAATTAAAAATAAAAAAATAGAGGGGAGAGGGGATAAATAAATTTGAATTTGGCTTAATTGGCATTTCGCATTATAAGTTAAAATATAAATTAAATTGTCTATGTATCTCTTACCTTGGAATTAAAGTTCTCGTAGTTCTCTTACTTTACTTGTCTTGATGAAAGTAGATGGCATGATGCGTTGTTGAACTGACGCTCTAGTAATTGACTAATCGTAGTCGTAGGTCTAGTAATGGTCTCGCGATTCCACTCATACTAATAAAATCGGATCCTTGTTCTTCATCGTCATACTAATAAAATCAGATCCTTGTTCTTCCTCGTCGTCTTCGGTAGTTAGCATGATCATTTGCATCCTTCGTTAAGATTTCAACCCAACAGTCACCCGAGTCGGTTGAGGTTGTTGACCTACTCCACATTAACCTTAAGATTGAAATCGTCTTTATACGGCTGCTCCAGGTCCTCCCCGTACTCCCCGTGTACACTCAATAGAGTGAATGACTTTTTGGACCACCTCGATATATCGTCGGTGTCGGCCTCGACAATGAAGGTCTACTTGAAGATGCACCTACATTTTTATGCTTTTATGAACAATTATCGGTACCACCACCACTACTAGAGATGTTAAACGGGCTAGCCCTAGCGGTTTCGGGCTAGCCCTAAGTGGGCTTCGGGCTAAACGGTCCAGGCCTAAAAATGTCGGATTTATACGGGCTACCAATAAAAGGACATAACCCTAACCCTAGCGGGCTTCGGGCTATGCTGCTATAATAATAATAATAATAATAATAATAATAATAATAATAATAATAATAATAATAATAATAATAATAATAATAATAATAATAATAATAATAATAATAATAATAATAGTAATAGTAATTTTACGATATTATATCATTATAAATTATGTCACTATGTTTCATTTGTTAGGTCTTTGTCTCATGTATTTCCTATTAGTCGTTCTGATTGACTTAAATATTTTGGTATGGAGTACAATAAGAATATTGTTAATAATTATCTTTCAAAACCATTATAATCCGTTACAGCTCATACTTACATGTGAAGTGAAATAGCAAAATTGCAATATACAATGAATGTAAGAGCATATTACTTACTTGCTGCAAACATTTACAACGTCCAACTCAAGTTAAACGGGCCAGCCCTAGCGGGTTTCGGGCTAGCCCTAACTTGCTTCGATTTAAACGGTCCGGACCTAAAAAGCTCTGATTTAAACGAGCTACCAATAAAAAACCCTAACTCTGTTTTTTTCAGGGCTAAACGGGCCGGCCCGTCGGGCCAAGAACCGTTTAACATCTCTAACCACGACCACCACGAGAACTCGATATATTATAACTCGATCTTAGAGAATAGATTTTATAAAATAAAAAAGAGATGTGAAAAATGATAGAAATTAGAAATGAGAGTATTATGTAACGAATTTATAGAACCGGACCGAAATGAGAGTGAATTTATAGAATTTGAACCGATTTTATAGAACATCGAGCCCCTTATGTAAATAATGTTGTAAATGGTGTGGAGATTATATTTGGGGGAAAGGTATTTGTAGGATTTTTTATTAACTCAATTGTCGGTTCCAGTTCGGCCTTGCAGTCAGACAGATCGGTTCAATCCTAGTCGTTGGATCTCAACGGTCAAGATAATCCAACAGTTAGATTTAAAAGTTTTATTGTTGGCAGTTCCGAGCAGGTCGATTCAGACACAGATCTGAATCAGTCTTTAAAAAAATCAAAATACAATATGTTCATTGGATCTCCAATGATTAAAAAATAAATAAATAAAATAAGATAAAAATCCAACGTTCCAAATTTAATCTAGTCCCCAAAAAAAAAATTAAAAAAAAATAAAAATTAGAAAATTGGCAGGCCTCTCCACGGCCGGTTCCGGGCCAACCCTAAACCGGGCCAGTGGTTCAAAGAAATATATATGTGAACCTGAATCGCCCTTGGTAAACGAACCGGTTCCAAGCCGGCTTGTAGCCATGTCTAGATTTGATAAATGACATTCACTTTATTGAAGACGAGAGGTCGTGCTTGTGAAACAAAAACAACTCTTAAATGTTTTACCTTTCATATTCACCTTCTTTTGGGGGGAAATAGACTGCGGACCTGAAAGGACTAGTATAATAATAACATAACACCCAAAACGTGCGCAAAATTCTAAGAGCCACGGTACATTTACAAAGGTTTTCAGACCTTGTTACTCATGTTTTCAAAACAAAGCACTAGAGACAAGGTGGTTGAGAGATAGAGGTTGCCGGATAATGATGGAAACAATTCATTTGGTCGAGTTTGATGGCAAGACCATTGAAACAACAGTCACGAGCCAGTCCTCCACGGCTCAACGCTGGCTGCAAAACATCGTCAAACTTCTGAACCAACACAGAACAAAACGAATTGTCGGGATGGACTGTAAGTACATACGCCACCCCATTAACTCGATGAGCAACAAAACAGCCATACTGAACCTATGTGTGGGAACCAAATGCCTCGTCCTCCACCTGCTGCACATGAATCACATCCCTCAATCCATCAGGGATTTCCTGAGCGACCCCCGCAATACGTTCGTCGGCATTGAAATCCTCGAGAACTCAAGGAAATTGCATAAAGAATATGCTCTCAATGTCGAGCGCAAATTTGATCTGCACTTTTTAGCAAAGCATTGGTTTCCAGCGAGCTATAATGGGAGGTCAAGTTTAAGGGCTATCGCGTCTAGAGTAATCGGGCTAAACGCAAGGAGGAAGTGTGGTGATAACAATGAGGGAAATTGGGAATCGGTTGTTCTTACTGAGGAGCTGGTCGAGCAAGCTTGTGCAGATGCTTATGCATTTTACAACATTGCTTGCAAATTGTTATCATGATAATCATGTTTAAATGAAATGTATGCGCGACAGAGTAATAGTTTCTATTTATTGACAATGATGGTTCAATTGTTATAAAACTACAATAAATCATGAAAACTCAAATAACCAGTTGAAGTGAGCATACTAAAACTTGGAAATTAAAATTTCATACATAATAGTAGGTGAATGAATAAGGATAATGACTAACATGGTTGTCAGAGGCCCTTCTCGAGCATAGCACGAACCCTCATGGGCAATCCATAGAGCCGGATGAAACCAGCAGCATCAGCTTGATTGTAGATCTCCCCGCTCTCGAACGAGGAAATGTCTTGCCTGTAAAGACTGTTCGGGCTTTCTCGGCCCGTTACAGTCACGGATCCTTTGAAGAGCTTCAGGGTCACGGATCCGGTACTGGTCTTTGTGATTTCCTTCATGAATGCATCCATTGACTCACGAAGCGGGTCGAACCACCTGCCGGCATATACCAGCTCAGCATACTTGAGGGCAAGGAAATCTTTGATTTGGATGGTTTCACGATCAAGCGTTAGGGACTCGAGTTCACGTGCAGCTGTGAAGAGGATTGTCCCGCCGGGAGTTTCATAAACCCCACGGCTTTTCATTCCGACTAGACGGTTTTCGACCATATCCACACGCCCAATCCCGTGTTTCCCACCAATATCATTGAGTTCCGAGAGTAGGGATGCAGGTGAGAGTTCCTTTCCATTTATTGAAACAGGGAGTCCCTCAACTATACCGATTTTCACATACCTGCATGTGTCGGGAGAAAGTGTCGAGTATAAATCTATAGTGTTTAAATTTTGACATGTGAAGTATTAAAAGCAATCAGAATTAAGGTATTGATAATGGAATAGTAAACTTACTCGGGCTGATCAGGTGCCTCAACAGGGTCAACAGTCATCATGTACATGTCCTCCTTTGGCTCACTGGCAGGGTCTTCCAAGATATCCCCCTTTAAAATCGATAATACAAGAAACCTCCATCAAACACACGGTTATAAAGATTTGTAGTACAGGACAAATTTCAAATAGTCACGGTAACTATCAAAAAGAACCTTTAAGAGAACCCCAACCAGAAATCAATTTGCTGAAACAAATTGCTATACAAACAAAAGATGTTATGCTAATATGCTCAATTTCCTCTCTACGAAAGGTTGTCTTAAAGTTTATAAGTAATGTTATACTTTAGGAAAAACCAATCATGATAATCATGACAAAATAGAAAAAATAAATGAAAGTAGTCTGAGTGCAAAGTGAAAATATACATATCCATACTAAGGTTTCACTCTGATCACCAGAAAACGATCTTAATTGACTTGCTTCCTCAGAGACAAATATATGATTTTTCTTCCCAAGCTTCAAGAAAAGGGAACTGCCATTAATTCTTATTACATACAACAAAATAATCACCTCATGACTGAGATGCCACAGATTCCTATCTCTGCTATAGATGGATTTCTTAGTCACAGGAACAGGCACATTATGTTTAATAGCATATTCAATTGCATCCTCCCGTCCCGTTATTTCCCACTCTCGCCAAGGAGCAACCACCGTGAGTTCGGGGTTCAAGGCAAAGAAAGTGAGCTCAAAGCGGACCTGCCACAAAGCAAGAGGCTAAACAAAAATTGTTGAGAAAAATGCGCTTAAGGACATATTGAGAAAAATCAGAAGCATGCCTGATCATTTCCTTTTCCCGTACATCCATGAGAAACTGCATCAGCTCCAACTTCTTTGGCAACATCAACCATAGCCTAAGTATTTCAAGACATAATTTCACAGACTAATATGAATACAGGAGCAAGTCAAGCATGCATGAATATTATTGATAACATGTGATAAAGGTAAAATAAGTACAAGCTAAACACAAGCATTTTAACTCAAGGATTAAACTTCATCTAGAACTGAACAGGGGATTTATTTTCCAAATAAATAAATTAATTCACTGCAGAATTTAGAAAGTCAATGAATGAAGGAGATTTTCTTTTCTCTTCCTTTTTTCTTTTACCAATGAACTGCGTACCTTTGCAATTACGGGGCGTGCCATTGAAGTCCCAAGCAAGTACTTCCTCTCATAGATAGCACCAGCACGCAAGCACGGATAAATAAAATCTCTCACAAATTCCTCCTTCAGATCCTTCACCACCAGTTGACAAGCTCCACTAGCTTTGGCCTTTTGCTCCAAGCCTTCCAATTCTTGCAGCCCCTGTAGGTTATTATATTTCATATGAGACAGAAATTTCATTATATTTCAATCCTTTTGTGCGAATGATAACACATCAAATATGCAGAGGTGAGCCACAATGAACCATCCATTTCTCTTTACATTTATTAATTATCAGAAACTAAATGTATACAGAATGGTCAATCCACTTTACGTTTATTATAGCAAAAAGTGCGAAAACTTATATATGAATTGATATACTAGTTCGAAGATTTTTTCCCATACTTGACCAACATCTCCAGTGAAGCAAACAACCTCACATCCATAGTTCTCCCTGCAATAATCAAAACATGGTGGTTATCTGGACAAATACCACACCTTTCAAAAGACTTGAGGTACTAAATTATGCAAATCACACAGGCAATAGCAATGACACCAAATATCTCCCCTTCTAATAGTCATTCTTATTTTCCAAGTTTCCTTTTCTACATAGAAATATTTACATCATGTACGATCATCAACCACAAAGATAACCATTTGCATTCAGCTTAATAGAAAATCAAAGTGCTTGAACAACCAACCTTGCAGCATATATGCAATGCAAGGATGGACAAGTCTAGAAAAAAAAAAAGGTAAATATCGAGATAATTTCACCTCGTTAACATGGTACAGAATCATTATTATATAAAATGATGGCAAATAAAGCAAGATAACCCAAGACTAATATCCTTGTACAAAAAATTTATATCATTTGAATGGAAGAAAATAAAATATCGCCAAGTTATCCATGTATTAGACAAAGAAAAACATCGAGCAGACCCATTTACTGGTTTTCACAAAATAAACAACGAATAAGGAGCTATTAACATACCTAAGCCACGGTACAACTATAGAGGTATCTAAACCACCACTATAGGCTAGCACAACTTTTTTCAACTTTTTACGCAAAGCTTTTCCTTCACCGGCGCCGGACGACGACATGTCACCCTTCTGATTAGCCGAAAACAGCTTGGATAGCTGCATCCAAATTCGATGGAGCTCAGGTTTAGATAAAATAGTTAAACGTTCCTTACATTATACGCTTGCAATGCCTTTCGTAACACATCAGTATGCACATTCATTACAACATTTGAATCTATATCTTAATCTCCAGCAATACATATACACAATGGACTTCAACCACATTTCCAATTGACAACATGTGAACTCACTAATGAGAATCGACCTCGTTGAGTTGAATGCTTAGTATCTAATAAGAACAGCATACAAGCAAAGACTGATCAAATGGCGAATCGAACATCGGAACCCAGCGAAGGAGTGTTCGACAGATTGCGTAAGAGAAAATTCAATGAGAGAGACAGAGTAATTGTTTACCGGCGTCGAGGAAAAATGGCGGCTGACGGAGCTGATGGGAGAAAAATGTGGACGGGGGATTTTACAGATGCTGCTGGTGCGATTATAAATCAATATTTTATTTATTTGTTTTTCGGAAATGTTGGGCTATTTCGTCGAGGTTTATAACTGTTACATCATGTAATTGTCGAAAATAATTAATCTAACGATTACAAACATCAACAAAATGGTTCGGTAACGAAACTTTACCATCTCTTTTTTGGGAAACCGGTGCCAGTTACTTACTAGGGTACACGCCACGGGATATATGTGTAAAAAATTAAATTTCGTCAAATCTTTATTAAAATGGAAAATATTTTTTTTTTTCGTTTTTCTAATTTTGTCTACATGTCATTTATTTATTTATTTTGTCTAATTTTTTCCTTTTAATTTTTTTTTTTTTTTGTGAAATTTATTTTTTTGTTCTTTTTAAAACTCAATGTTCTTTTTTTCTTTTTTTGCTCTTTTTCTACATATAAAGTATCAAATTATATACTTCTTTTCATCTACCTATATTTCATACATAAAATATAAAATAATTATTTCTATTTCTCTTAGTTATCTTAAGTTTATGTATAAACATAAAATTAAAAATAACGAATGATCATACATTATCTTATAAAATAAATTTTGAATTATATGAATATCGCTTATACATGTAGAGCATTAATTTATGACATTAAACTGATAAAATAAAAGCTCGTCTATTAAATGATAACTAGTACAACACCCGTGTATTACACAGGTGTTTGTTAAAAAATTATTCTTAAATTTTAAAATTAATGAAAAAACTATATTAAATTTAGTTTACATTTTTATTAAAAAAAATATATTACTATATATTTTAGAATGATATGTGTTACTTATGACTTACATGTGTTATATTATATTAGTTTATAACTTATATCATATAACTACTTGAAATATAAATATATTAGTTGATAAATAATTTTATTTTTTAATTAATATTAAAAATAATTTTATTATTGTTATAAAGATAAATATATATTATTTTTTTATACATATAATATGGATGTTAAATTGAAACTCATCAAAAGAAGATTAATTTGATATATTACATATGTAAAACTGATAAAAAATACAAAAGTTATTAACTTTTAAAATATATATACAATTCAATAGTTCTAATAAGGAATGATATTAAAATGCAATTAATTTATGTAACATGACCATAAATAATCAATATATTTATGGTAATCCAAACTTAATTATTTTTTTTGTTTGGAATTAAATTAAAATCTACTCAAGCCTAATAACGAAGCATGTAATTTTGCGACATATGATTCTGAAGCACAAAAAGCAGCCACGTAGGCTCAGCGCGTTCTGGATTAATATATAGGGGATACATAGGGGATGTTAATTACTAGCTCAAAAAGGTTCGTAGTATATATTAATTTATATTAATTTATTCAAAATTAAAAAAAAAAAAAAAAAAAAAAAAAAAAAAAAAAAAAAAATCAACCGCAATTTATTAAAATTTTCGAGGGGTGCATGAATCCATGTCAATTTTGATTGTCAATTTTCAATAGATATTTTGTTTATGTCGGTTTTGCTATGAAACCACAAGTTATATTTAGTTAATTACCCTCAGCCAATTTTGTATTTTATCTTTGGTTTGATTAATTTTAATTTCAAATTCCTCATTAAATTTATATTTATCTAAAAGTTATCCTATTTACTAGAATTAGTATGGAGAAAAGTCAACTCATATTTAATTGCACACCATATTTAGAAAGGTTTTAGATTATTTAAATCATAAAATAGGGTAACATTAAATGCCCCTAAAATTATGGGTTTTGTTGAATTTATTTCTAATAATATCTGCATCCAAATTTGCGTGTGGTTTTGAAGTGAAAATATGAAATTCAAAATCTCTTCTCATTTTAGTTATAAGAAAATCAGGTTGCATTCAACACTTGGACCAATTTAAAAATTATTCCTTAAATGAAGAAACTTATAGATAATTGTTATCTATACTCAATCACATGATTATCTATATCTATATAATGGACGAATACTTATTGCCATAATTGGCATGATTTTGGGCGGGAAAGTTTTTCGACTATATTTGACATTTAATTAATATTTATTTATTAGCAAATATAATGCCAAAAAAAATGTAATTAATTTTTATACACTCAATAACTAGATATATTTTTAGATCTTATATTAATTTAATAGTAACTTATTGACACAATTGAGAACATTATTAAAGAAATTAATTTGATTAAATATATTTCATATATAGTTGTAGATATTACTTTAATTAATTATATTCACTATTCAGAAGCACTTAAAATATTTAATAAAATAATCAAAATAACTATGTTTAAATCATACTAACTTAATAAATGATTAAAAATATTAATAAAATTTTCTAAAATATAGTCAATTTAACTATAAAAAGGTACATCACATTGAATATATCATATGCATTGATAATACTATTGAAAAATTTAAATAATATACTAATAAAAATAAAATTTGATGGTCGGGTGCAATTCAGAATTATAAATTTTACCTCAAAAGTATCTATGTACATTAAAAAACTATTCAATTTTTAAAATATATGTTTTTCTTATATACTATTTTATAAACGAAAAAAAAAAAGATAATAAAATAGCAATGTATAATAATTTAAATTATTGCACTTGGTAATTATGGAAATACATAATATATTTAAATATTCGAATAGATATTCTGTAACTCATTATATAGATTGAAAAAATAAATTAAAAACATAAATATAAAAAAAAAATGAAAACACAAAAATAATGTATTTAACCATTAAAAATTTGTGTGTTGCATAAGGATTAAAGTTACTAAAGATTAAAAGTTTATCTATCAAAGCTTTTAACATTTAATGCACTTAATAATTGTAGCAAAAGATAAATATTAAGAGTTAAACGTTAGTTAATTATCACGCAATGTGCAAATTATGAATTGTTGAAAAAATTACAAAACTATGATAAACAACAATTTTATATGTACATACAATTAATTTGTACGCAAATATCATATAATCTTATACATTTAAAATATTTTATGAACTTATAAATAATAAATTTATATATTAAATAGTCAAAATATACAATATAAATGTATAATAACAATAATATTAAATAAATAAATGTCATATTATTACTGGATAGAGTATTTTGGAGAATATAATTTTATATTGTCTTAAATAATTTTATAATATTTAAATAAAAAATATTATATAATGTACCCTGTGCATCGCACGGGTATCAACACTAGCTTTCAATATAAAAGAGACTGGTTACAAATTAGTGAATCATATATTACCTAATTCAATATATCTATATCTATATAATGGACGAATCCTTATTGCCGTAATTGGCATGATTTTGGGCGGGAAAGTTTTTCGACTATATTTGGCATTTAATTAATATTTATTTATTAGCAAATATAATGCCAAAAAAACATAATTAATTTTTATACACTCAATAACTAGATATATTTTTAGATCTTATATTAATTTAATAGTAACTTATTGACACAATTCAAAACATTATTAAGGAAATTAATTTGATTAAATATATTTCATATATAGTTGTAGATATTAATTTAATTAATTATATTCACTATTCAGAAGCACTTAAAATATTTAATAAAATAATCAAAATAACTATGTTTAAATCATACTAATTTAATAAATGATTAAAAATATTAATAAAATTTTCTGAAATGTAGTCAATTTAACTATAAAGAGGTACATCCCATTAAATATATCATATGCAGTGATAATACTATTGAAAAATTTAAATAATATACTAATAAAAATAAAATTTGATGGTCGGGTGCAATTCAGAATTATAAATTTTACCTCAAAAGTATCTATGTACATTAAAAAACTATTCAATTTTTAAAATATATGTTTTTCTTATATACTATTTTATAAACGAAAAAAAAAGATAATAAAATAGCAATGTATAATAATTTAAATTATTGCACTTGGTAATTATGTAAATACATAATATATTTAAATATTCGAATAGATATTCTCTAACTCATTATATAGATTGAAAAAATAAATTAAAAAAATATATATAAATAAAAAATGAAAACACAAAAATAAAATATTTAACCATTAAAAGTTTGTGTGTTGCATAAAGATTAAAGTTACTAAAGATTAAAAGTTTATCTATCAAATCTTTTAAAATTTAATGCACTTAATAATTGTAGCAAAAGATAAATATTAAGAGTTAAACGTTACTTAATTATCAGGCAATGTGCAAAGAATGAATTGTTGAAAATATTACAAGACTATGATAAACAACAATTTTATATGTAAATACAATTAATTTGTACGCAAATATCATATAATCTTATACATTTAAAATATTTTATAAACTTATAAATAATAAATTTATATATTAAATAGTCAAAATATACAATATAAATGTGTAATGACAATAATATTAAATAAATAAATGTCATATTATTACTGGATAGAGTATTTTGGAGAATATAATTTCATATTGTCTTAAATAATTTTATAATATTTAAATAAAAATATTATATAATGTACCCCGTGCATCGCACGGGATTAACACTAGTTAATTAGATGATACGATTAATCATTGCTT